TCAAACCTGAGTATTCTGTCTCTAGAATATGTGTTTTTATCCACTCTGCCTTTGAGATCTTTTACAACATACTCAAATGTCTCATAGATATGAAAGAATTAGATTCAGTGGTATTCCTAAAGAAACCTAGTCTTCTGCACTACATACAAAACTTATTACTGAAGTTTTACATTGGCTTCCTTCCACGTGAAAATGAAAGGAGTAGGGAAGCATGAGGAAATGTCTGAGTTGCTTTATTTCTTTACCTAGACAACCCTATTAGTTATATTTTTCTGCTTGTGGTTCTGAACCTTCTTTATACTTTGTATGCCCTTCCTCACTATTTCACAGGATGATGGTCTTTCTCTATAAAGTTTTTCTGAACTAAAGAAATAAGGGGGACATCTTCCTCCTCAAGAACCAACTCACAAACTTTTTAATTCAGGCTGCTTCACAATAACACCTCCCTAATTCAGGTTGGGGGAGAGAAGATTAGTCTTGATGAAAAGTCTCAGTCATTCACTCATTAATACATTAATAACTGTATGAATTATCTACTATGTGCCATGTCTTTCTTGCAAGACAAAAAAAATCCTGTTTGCATTCTAGTGGAAAGCGGGAAGAGGGACCTATGAAAACAAACAGTAATAGTGACAGGTAAACGGCATTCTGCAGAACATTCAAATGGGGTAAATATGACCCGAAGTATCTGGATGGCTATTTTATATTGGATGGTTTGTTTCCCGAACTCTATTCCCTGAGACGCACAGCCAATAAAAACAAATTGTCCTCTCATGGGGGAGGGGGCAGGGTGGAGAGGTGGGGACAATGGCCTTGTGGTCCATAGGCTTTTATCTACACCTTAAGTTCCACAGAGCAGTGGCTCTACTTTACAAGTACACAGAGTTATAACTGTCCCTTCTGGAGACAGGTTAACTAGATGGATATACTGGCCCATGAAGGCATTATGAGGTTTTCAGGCAGTGGAAATATAAGGAGGAGATGGTTAAAAAACATTTAGGAGGCACAATCAACAGGATTTTTTTTTTTTTTAAACAACTGGATGTGGAAGGGAAGGGAAAAAAATTGATGATTTTGAGGTTTCTAGGTGAGATGACTGGTTTGTCATTAACCAAGACTATAAACACTGGAGGGAGCAAAGTTGAGATAAATGTGGTTTGGGTCACAATGAATTTTGATGACGTTGCCAGCCATCTTCCCTTGCTTTTTCTTCATACCACTTATTACCACATGACATATTATATATTTACATGTTTATTAATTTATTGCCTGTCTCCACACCTCCCACAGCCTACAAATTTAAGCTCCACGGGGGAAGGAACCTGATCTGGTTTTGCCAGAATCTAGATGGTGGCATGTACTAGATAATAAACGTTTGTTGGATGAATAAATAAGGTAGTGGCTTATTTTTCATTTAATCATCAAAACAATCCCGAGATTTTACTCTCATTGTACGGATGAGGAAACTGAGGCCTTGACAAGTTAGACATATATGTAATATCGTAATTTGCCTAGAGTCATGAACTCTAGCACAGGATATATTTGATTCCACACTTTTCTAACTGCAATGCCCATATCACAAGTATGTAGAGCGGCAGGCTAAGAGGGAGAAGCAGGCCCCCTGCTGAGCTGAGCAGGGAGCCCCATGTGGGACTCGGATCCCAGGACACTGGGATCATGACCCGAGCTGGAGGCAGACGCTTAACCAACTAAACCACCCAGGCTCCCCAATGATCATAATTTCTAAATGGAGATGTATATACATACTATTTTGAGATATCTATCATGATCGCAATATGTGATGAAAATATTAGAGAAAAAAATCACAGATACTGCTATTACTACTATGGTTTGTTGTCCATATTCATAATTGAATAAAAGCTAATTTTCAGTCTGAGGTTAATAATGGTATAATTTTTTCCCCCCAGCTAAGGTCAGACTCCCTGAATTATACCATTTTTGGGACCACAGACTTCAGATTAACCACCCCCCGGTTCTGGTAGAGGAGGAAGAGGAGGAAGAAAAGAGATGATAAAATCAAGTCTGAGCTACTATGAATGAACTATTAATTGTTTGTTGATGTACCCCCAGTTGTCTAGAACAGTCCTGGCACCATAAACGTATATTGAATAAGTTCAGTTCAAATTCTAACAAATCATTACCGTGTACAAGATACTGTGTTATATTCGTTATAAGATGCAAATCATTAGGTATTTTCTGAGCACCTGCCATGAACCCAGTGTTGTCTGGATGCTGTGATGGAAGAAGAAGTGATAATAATAGCTAACATTATGGTATGCTTTCCACATGCTAGAATTTGTTAAGTGCTTTTGATATGATTTTTCATTTAAATTTCACTGAATCCTCTTAACATCCTTTGAGGTGGGTGCTATTCAATCCTCATGGTACAGATAAGGAATCTGAAGCTTAGAGAATCAACTATCTTGTCTAAAGTCATAAGCTAGGATTTGGATTTAGGTAATCAGAGTATAGAGTCTTAACTTTAATTACTACACTAGACTGCCTTTTTCTATTAAGATAAACTATTTGCCTCCAGGGAGTTACAATTTTGATAGTAAAGGTTAAAACTGCAGGTTTTAGAGTTTCTTGAGTGGAAGAGGAAGTTGGACACCAAGGAAGTCGAAAAGATCACCTAGGTAGAGAACATAGCATGAGAACGGGAGAGACTAAGATTACATCCTGAGGAACTCACACACTTAAAGATCAGGTAGAGGCTGATTCCATGAAGGAGATTGAGAAAGAACAGCCAGAGAGGTAAGAGCAAACTAGAAGAAATGTGGTGTAAGCAAATCAAGGAGGGAATGGTCAACAGTGTCAAAAGGTACTGAAGTTCAAATACAAGGGGAATGGAAAAATGCCATTGGATTTGGTGATATAGGAGCCACCTGTGATCTTGGAACTGTTTTGTGCAGAACAGGTGGATACCAATATCTGAACCTCTTACTTGGACCCAATTAATATTCATCTCTTGCCACCTGACTTCTACTTTATACAGTGTAATAGCATCATCTACACATTAAGTTATTCTAGTTCAACTATCTAGATTCATCACATATATGTCATATATGACTGATTCCACTGGCCATTCCATTCCATGAGTTTATGCCAGTGGTAGTGGAAGCAGTGTAAAGTGGGAGACCACGAGTGTCTTCCCTCATTTTCAGGTTCTTTATGTCTCTTTTAGCACAAGCACTTTGCTACACTGAATGTGGTTCTAGTGTTTAAAGATACAGTATGCATTTTTCATATAACATGGCCCCTAAATGCAAGCCAGCTTCATCTGGTTTTCAAACAGAACCAGCCATTTGCTTCATTGCTGGAAGAAAAAGCAGGCTGCACCGAACTTAATTGTGATTGTACACGATCTCCAACACAGTGCCTCCTAAGAGACTTCTTAGGGTAATTTTGACTATATTCAATGTTTAGAATAGGTACTGACATTAGAACTAGTTCAACATGACACGCTGAAGAGAGAAGAGAATGCCTATGGACTTCAGGGGTGAGGGAGTCCCAGGCAAGACAGACTCTACTCTAAAGTATTTTTTTCTGCTGAATTCTCTATCCTCCTAGATTGTGGAGGCAGCCTAAGCTCCTGTACTTACTTGACCCTGCCTTGTTTATTCTGAACCTAACTTCTGCCTGTCTGACTTCAGTACTTCCAGTTCCTGCATCCTGCTCCATCTAAAATTCTGATTTACTGGAAAAAGGCAAATACAGCAGATACTTCAAATGAAAACTCAAATTACTATTAAACTGTTTTCTAGAAATCAGTTATATTAATTTTAACACATCTTAAAATATACACTTAAATTTTATGCTTAAAGGGAACTGTATCTTGTTTTTATTTTGTATTGTGTAGGGTATACTAAAGACCAAGCATATAAAAACTGTTCAATGCACATTGGTGCAATACACCACATCTCCCCACTTCTGCATAATTACACTAAAACAATGCAGCTGAACAATAGAAATACAGATAGGTTATTCCATCTGCAAAAATAACTTAAATGAGGCTACACAATAGTAACAAAAACCAAAATCAGTCCGCTCCTCTTTCCCAAGTGCTAGGGGGATCCTTGGCGTTTCAGACTCGAGCAATTTGGAAGCAAGAAAATCCTGCCCTCTGCTGCTGAGTTAAGAAAAAGGCCTCAGCCCAATTAATCACTTTTGTGAAGGGCAAGTTATAGTCTGAGCAAAACACTGGTGAAAAGTCAGAAGGTGAGCAAAGTAAATGCTTTCCGGGATTTTTAACTCCAGGCGATCCTAATTTCTCAACAGCTTAAACACTCACCCTGGCATTCAACATTAGGCAAAGTCAATTGGGTTTCAAAACCAGGAAGTTTTGTTTTGTTTCTTTGTTTTGTTTTGTTTCGTTATTTCTCCCTCATTAGCCATAACCCACGTTACAGAGGTTACCAGGCGGTATTGCAGTGATGTGGGGGAGGCCTGGAATCGGGGCGTCCGAGGGTGGTCCTGGGTGGGGCTGCCAGGACCGGACTGGACACTGAGCTCCAGGTTGCGGGGGCGCACAGACTCCGCTTTCCGGCGAGCAGTGGTCCCAGCCCCAGCTCTGTGGGTCCCGCAAGCCGGGGTGTTTGCTAGGGGGGAACGGGGACGTTTACCTGGTGCCGATCCCTACCAAGTAGGTGTTGGTGCCCTGCAGGGTCATGGGTCCCGGGTTACAGCCCAGGACGCGCACCACCCGACTGGACAGCCGCTCGATGCTCTGCAGGACAGCCGACATACCAGCTTCTGGAGGCCGCCGGCGCGCGGTGACTCGAGCGCGGAAATGGCTACTAGGCCCGTGTGGGGGAGGAGGCGGGGCGGGGCCAGCAGTCGCCTGACGTAGCGGGACCGGGGCGGGAGGGGAATGAGCCGGCTGTGCTGGGGGCGGGGCCAGAGGTCACCTGATGCGGCCCCTGCTCCGTTGGCGGAGGCGGCGAGAGGGCGGGCGAGGGCGCGTGGCGGCAGGCGTCTTGGGGCGAGGTTGTATTCGCCTGGCCGAGCGTCGTCGCCTGTCTGGTGCCTTCACAGGAATTTGTGGCGGAGTTCATCCCAGTGGACGAGAGACATTTTAACTTGGGAAGTCTTGTGGAGCACAGGGCAGGCAGGTTTGGGGTTAGTTACGGATCACTAAATCCTGGAAAAGGATGTCTTGTTTTTAGGCAATGGCGATGTGTGTGTGTGTGTGTGGGTGTGTGTGTGTAGAAACCTGTTTTGTCTTTTATAATAAGTAGGGGCAACTAGTATTTCCTTCGTGCTTACTGCCATGCTAAGTGCTTTTTCTAAACACTATCTCATTTAATCCTCGTAACAACATGAAGAGGAAGGCACTCTTTTTATGTCTGTTTTACGAATGAAGCACGGAGACTTGGGAGACTTGGCCAGGTGACAGCTGTGTGAACCCAGCTCAGCGTCTGAGGCCTTGTTCCTAGCTACCTTGCCCCAACCCTTGTCCCCTTCTCGTTGGATTCAAGGAGCTTGCCGCTCCCTCCTTTGCTTTGTTCCTGCCCAGAGACCTAGATCGGCCTTGAGGAGTTTCGTCCCCAAGATAGAAGGGAGTTATTTTCTCCATGAGGAGTCCTTTTGTAATCTGCTAAGCATGGACTATCCTAGTATTACCCGTCCCTATTAAACAACAACAACAAAAACGATTTATAATTTACCTCAAGGAAGTCCTATGATCCATTTCATTCAGTTAGGATAGTTGTCTGTAAGCTACCTCAAAAGAGATATAGGACATATCCACTGTCCCAAGTGAGAAATCTTTTTTTTTCCTCAAAACAAGTCTTTTTCAAAACAAGTGAGAAATTGACACAGATACTTGTGGCTCTAAAATTTAGGAAACACATTTTAATGCTTTTTTGCAGGTATTTCTGAAGAAAAGACTACTATTAGTACAGTATTTATTTTACAAATCATTAGTTTAATATTCCAGATTTCTTGAAAGACACACCTGTTTTATGTCTGACAAATTTTTTTGCCTTGTGTCTTAAAGATGTACTTTTTTTTCAAAGATGTACTTTTAATGGAAAAATGTTTCAAAAACCTTTGCTGAAAGGGCAACATGCCCTTTTAAAAATGTTTGGAAGAACCATCAAAATTCCCCACATCAGGCATTTTCAACTCCCAGTTTTATTTATTCGTAGCCACAGCTTAATGGCTATTCAGCCAGGAAGCTACCCCCATTTTCCTTTTTAAAAAACCTTGTGCTGGAAAGTCAACAAACCTTTGAGAAGAGGGTGGAACAATAATTTCTGGGACTTGTGGGCAGTTCCATTCTTTTATCCCTTGACTTTTTGTTTTAAATTAGAATTTCCCTTGTGGCTTCCATCTCTATTTCATTTAATTCATTGCCAAGCTCTTCATCTGCCAAATGAACCCAACAAATAATTTAAAACTTAAGTGACTTCAGTTGAGTCATACAAGGAGCTACTGACAGAAGGGGAAGAGAGGTTGAGTAGTGAACTTGGTTTAAACAAATTGAAATTGGGATGATTGTGAGATATACTGGTAAAGAAATCTATAGACCGTTGGATATATATGGGTTGAGCTCAGAAGAGAGATCTAGGCTGCTAATACAAAATTGTCTTTGTGGATATGTTTAATAATGTGACTTGAAGTTTAAGGTCTTCTCTAAGAAATAAGAGGAAAGATTTTGGGCAACTCTCTTGGGTCCCCTCCCTCTTCAGGGGCTTTGTATTGCTCAATAAACTTTGCTGCCCACCAACCCCCCCAAAAAAAGGTAAAAAAAAAAACCAACAAAACCAAACCCCAAAGATTTTATATTCTGTTCAGTTATATTTATAATCATTTATCATCTATCTACAGTATGCACAGTGTTATTGTAGAAATATGGGGGGTGTTAAAATGATAGTTGGCTTTCTAGAGTCTTATAACCAGAAAGGAGATGTACATTATCTTATTTTAAAGAACATGTGAGTAAATCCTAGAGAAGTATAGCTGAAGTGATAGGATTGCAAGGAAGAAGGGGAGAATCAAATTAATTGGGACTATCTGGAAAAGCTTAAAGGTTGTGGGGTTTTGAGCTGATTCTTAAAGGACTGATAGAACTTGATCAGGTAGGTGGAGGTAGGAAGAGCATTCTAGACAATAAATAATCTTGAGAAAAGGCTTGGAAATAGAACAACTGTAGTATTTATTTTGGGAACAGAAACCAACAATCATGTCCTTGGGGCATAGGGTTTAAGAAGGTATACAGTTTGAAAAAGGTAAGTAGGGCTAAGTTAAAAATACTTTGTAAATTCTTTATCAGAGTACTTCAAATGTAAGAATCTTTCTCTTTCCTTTTCAAACATTTGTTGTCTACTTGGATATGCTGTGAGGCAAATTGTATTTTCTTAAAACTTAAATTTTGAGGGGCGCCTGGGTGGCTCAGTCAGTTAAGTATCTGCCTACTGCTCAGATCATGATCTCAGGGTCGTGGAATCGAGCCCCATGTCAGGCTCTCTGTTCAGCTGGGAGTCTGCTTCTCCCTCTCACTCTCTCTCTCTGTGCTCTCTCTCTCTCAAATAAATAAATAAAATCTTTAAAAAACCCGTAAATTTTGAATACAGCAAAACCTTGCAACCTAGTCAACCTGTGAGAGGAGAAGTTATTCTCTTAATGTGGTAGTTATAAAGGGGTGTACTGTAGTTGCAATGATACAAACTTTCTTATCACTAGATGAGAAAATCCCACATATGACTAACAGATGATTTTCAGTTTCATTTTATTCGTTCTTAAAGGTTTACACGCCCTTTAATGATAACTTGTTTTCAGTGAGGAAGAAATAAAAGATTCCCAGGATGAAGATTTTCCAGAAGAGACTTTGAGTTAAAGAAGGCGTTTTATACTTGATAAGTAAGTCTGTATTTTTTGCGTGTTGAATTTGGTTGACAAATGAGTTTACTAGTTTTTACTTCTTCAAACGTCTGCTTTATTACAGAGGTCATGTACTGTGGACAAAGGTTTTGTGTCTTGGCTGCCAGCCAGTTAGCCAGGTAGCTGGGTTGACCTCTGAATGAAACTGGATTGAAACTGTCCTATTAAGTCAGCAAGTGTCACAAATTCTTTATAAAGTCAAATTTTATAGGTGGTATTATTTCTCCTAAGGTGATGATTGGAACTGTGATTAACCGCAGGGATAGAGATGAACTAGCCTTCATACAAGTTATATAACTATGTGGTTATTGAAAGGTGTGGGCCTTCTTTATGAGAGCTGCCATATTTATTTCCTTGCTGTGTAGTTTTCTTTCCGGTTGGCATTATGTTCTGCTTGACTAAATTAGGAATAGAGACATTGCCACTTAGTCTATTGAATCTGATGTTTTGCTAATAATGGAATTTCCAAGTTTCTTAGAAATTATTTTTCTCATCTTGTAAATTTATTTCAAAACTGCTAGTGTTTTCCATATCCATGCCAGGTAAAGGAAACTCTCTTTTTGGGGAGAATGGTTAAGAAATATACACATGGAGTGGAGTGCTTAGGTATTATAGTCTGTAATGTTAAGGAAATTATCTACATTAAAATCAGTTTATTTTTTTAATTTATTATTATTTTTTAAAGATTTTATTTATTTACTTGACAGAGAGAGAGAGAGAGAGAGCGCACAAGCAGGCAGAGAGGCAGGGAGAGGGAGAAGCAGGATCCCTGCTGAACAGAGAGCCTGACATGGGGCTTGATTCCAGGATCTGGGATCATGACCTGAGCTGGAGGTAGTCGCTTAACCGGCTGAGCCACCCAGGCGCCCCTAAAATCAGTTTACTCATTAGAGATAACTCATCTAAATACCCAATATCTCTAAGCCTCAGTGTTTTGCTCAATAATACCCTTCTCATGGAGATTTGTGAGGATTAAATAAAATGTATGTAAAACACTTCACACATAGTAAACACTCAGCAATGATAGCTACTGTTATTACTGTTTTTCCATTATATATGTGATGTTCTTTTCCCTCTCTAGATAGTGAAGCTCAAGAAATTATATTTTTTAGAATGATATTAGAACAGGACTTGGATGCACATTAAACACATCCAGTATAACCATGGTAAGGAATTTGCCAATTTTTGGAGAACTTTTGTTTCTGGAGGACATATTTGAAATCTAGTACATTAGATTTTCAAACTAGCTGTTCTTTATATCTGGAAAGCTTTTCCACATGATATCTATATGACTAATTTCATTACTTATATGCCATCCTCTCAGTGACTCCTGTCCTGACCATTCAAGACCTGAGCTGAGATCAAGAGTCAGACACTTAACTGACTAAGCCACCCAGGTGCTCTCTATCCTGAGCATTCTAATCAAACTTACAACTCATGATGTGCCTGTCTCTACTTCTAACTCTTAGGGTTGTTTTTTCCATAGCACTTATCACCTTCCAATATAATATTTAATTCACTTATTTTTATTGTTAATTGACTATCTTTCTCTGTTCGGATGTAAGTTCCACAAGGGTGGGGATTTTTGTTGTCTCTTTTGTCATTTGATATATCCCCAAAGCCTAAAACAGCACATGGTAAGTTCTAAGTATTTAATTGAATTGAACAGAGCCTTCTGATTAAATATCATCCTCCTAAACTCCATGCTTATGTTGGGCATGATGTCTTTCATTTTTTTTTTATTAACATATACTATGTTATTTGTTTCAGGGGTACAGGTCTGTGATTCATCAGTCTTACACAATTCACAGCACTCACCATAGCACATACCCTCCCCAGTGTCCATCACCCAGCCACCCCATCCCTCCCAACCCCCTCCACTCCAGCAACCCTCAGTTTGTTTCCTGAGATTAAGAGTCTCTTATGGTTTGTCTCCCTCTCTGGTTTTGTCTTGTTTCATTTTTCCCTCCCTTCCCCTACGATCCTCTGTCTTGTTTCTCAAATTCCTCATATCAGTGAGATCATAGGATAATTGTCTTTCTCTGAGTGTGATGTCTTTCATTTCAAGATAAGAAACTTACCGCATGGAAATTTATGGCCTGCTACATTGGGAAAACTCAGATTTTAAAATTATTTTTTTCCATCCTGTTGGCCACAGCATTCTTGTCAGGAAAAGTAGTGATAGTGAATTTTTTTTTCATTAAGAAGAGTGAAATACCTTTTAATATTATTTTGAAAACTTTTAAACAAAATACTTATAAGTGGTAAAATGACAAGAACAGTGTTTAAGTATTATGTTGTGTGAGTTTTCAGTAACACTGTCATCTCCTGGTTTTTAAAGTAATAAACATTCTTTATAGAACATGTAGGGTGTTAGTCTACTTGGGCTGCCATAATAGAATAACCATAGACTATGCGACTTAAGAGAGATTTATTTTTTCACAGTTCTGGAGACTAGAAGTCTAATATCAAGGTGCCAGCAGGGTTGGTTTGTTGTGAGACCTCTCTCTTTGGGTTGCAGATGACTGCCTCCTAGCTGCATCCTCATGTAGCCTTTCCTGTGTGTGTATGGGAGTGGGGTGTGGGGGAGGGAGGTCTCTGTTGTCACTTCTTTTTATAAGGACACCAGTCCTATCAGATTAGGGTCCTGTCTTTATTATTCCTTTTAATCTCAGTTACCTCCTTAGAGACCCATCTCTAAATACAGTCCATTGGTGGTTAGTACTTCAACATAAGAACTTTGGAGGGAAACAATTCAGTTCACAGATATAGAAAAAAATGAAGAAGAGGAAAAAAATTCATCTATAATACCATTAATTCCCCAGATAAAACTACTGTTAACATTTTTGTATTCCTCCAGTCATATTTCCTTTGTATTTTCAAAGCTTTGCAATCATACCATCGTATTTTTTTAAATTCAACATTCTTTAAAGTGAAGTCAAAGATTGCATGCGTAGATGCTTATAGGGATCAGGCAGGCAGGCAAGGTATGGTAATGGTAACTAACATTTATTGAGTTCTGTTGGCCAATTACTTTTCTAAAGGTTTATATATATTATATATATTATCTTTCTTAGTCTTCACAACAACCCTATGAGGTATATGCCATTATTATTTCCATATTTCAAGTGAAGGAAAATAAGGCACAGGGAGGTAAAAGAACATGTTTGAAGACACACAGCTAATAGGTAGCTAGAGTAGCATTGAGACTCAGCTGCTGAAATGACTGTAATGCGGTGGCTGGCTACTGTGGTGAACTTGAGAGCGCATGCCCCACCTAGGAGGCATCCACTGCTCATGAAGGAATGTTAGTCTAGTGTAGCAGATCTTTCAGTTTTTTGATAGCAGTGAAAAATCTGTATTTTAGTATGAAATATTGGCAATTAGGAAAATTAAACACCGTTGAATCAAACTTTTTTTTTTAAGCTTTGAGACATTTTATTATAAAAAGCTGGTACTCTTAAACATAAACTAATAAGAACTTAAAATTCATTGCACATTTACTTCATTTTTTAGCTTGACCTTGTAGTAAATCGTTAGCTTCATTGATTTTGGCTGCTATATAAGGAGATCCTTCCTTGTTTGGGTGATTAAAAAGCATAATTTGTAGAAGAGCAGCTCTTATTTTTCCTTTATTGGTAGTAGAGCTTATACCTGCTGTTAATGCTCTTGTTTTGGCATTTTGTGTTCAAACCCACCTCTATAATAGCTGCCACTGAAGGCAGATTTTGGAAGACTTTGAAAACTTGTTTTACTTGAAGCTCCATATGCTTCATGGCTTGCAAAACATAACAGCCTGCAAATCCTGTGGTGGTAATGGTCAGTCCATTTGCTACCAGTGTACCGCCCACGGCTCTGGCTTGGCTTCCCTGCATCCACAGAGAGTTTTATTCCAGCCCAGAGGCTGCAGCCACCAATTCCATGCCTCTACCAGAAAGCACCACTGGCAGGTACAAAGGGCCCAGACACAAGCACCCCAGGAAATATGGGAACAGCTGCTACGTCAGACAGATCTTGTATGTAGATTGCATTCAGCTCACATTTATAAAATAGAGGTCGCAATAGTAATACCTGTCTCCTAAATTTGATGTAAGATTTAAATGGGGGGTATTTTATGTTTAAGGTTTAGTTTAATGCCTGGCACACAGTGCTAAGTAAATGTTAGCTAACACTTTGTCCAGTCTTTGAAATTCTTTAAAAGTATCATTTACTATTGTTTTTATTTTAAGAGATTGTGTAAGTAATATATGGGTACATGTCTTTTGTAAAAAATTCCAACAATATAAAAGAATAATTAATTACAGGATTGAAGTTGCATTTGCTTTCCACTCCCAACTTCCTTCCTCTCTCCGAATATAATTAAAAACCCATAAATGCTGTATTTATCCTTCTGGCACTTGTTTTTTTTCATTTAATACATTTTGGAGATCTTCTGAGGTCAGTTTATACAAAACTGCTTCATTCTTTTTAAAGGTTGTGTGGTGTATTCTTTCCTATGGTGTACCATATTTTATTGAACGAGGTCTCATTTGTCATTTAGGTAGTTTTCAACTTTTTGCTATTATAAAGAAGGTTTTACAAAGAGTATATATCTTTGTGCACATTTGTGACTATTTCTCTAGGCTTGATTCTTAGATGGAATTGCTGAATCAAAACCATATTAAGTTAACTTTAGAGAATACACTTATTGTTACCAGAGGGGAGGTGGGTGGGTGGGTGGGTGAAATATATAGGTAAAAGAGATTGAGGAGTGCACTTGTGATGAGCACTGGGTGTTGTATGGAAGTGTTGAATCACTACATTGTACATCTGAAATTAATATCAAACTGTATGTAAACTAACTGGAATTAAAATAAAATTTAAAGACTATATTAAGAATTTTCACAGCTATTGCACCTTTGTTAAATTTTTTTTAGTAGCTTTGTAATATTCCATTTTGTGAATCTACCATTATTTACCAATTCCTTATGTTGAAACAGTTAGATTGTTTCTAATTTTTTGCCACTGTAGATGGACCTGTGATAAATATCTTTGTTAGTAGGTTATGGTTTTTAAAATGTAAGTAGTCTGAGGAGAAGTTTTCAACTAATAAGTATATTACTGAAGCTTTACTTTCCCAAAACTATTATAAGAACTATATTTAGTGGTAATATATTATTTTTAGAAAAAGTAGAGGTTTGATAAAATCATGGCCTAGGGTTTTTAATATTATACTCAAGATTTTTAGAATCTTTTATATATGTTTCATTTTAGGTGTTGTCATCTGTAATGAAGATCATTGAAAAACAGAAGATTAAGTAAAGCCTTGTAACATTGGACCTGGATAGGAGATTTAGAAAAGAAAATTAAAATTAGTCACTTTGGTTTTAGTGTTTCAATTTCATAATATTTATTCTTCTGAATAAGTTTAGGGAGTAGAAATTAAAATTCAGTGTTATAGTAACAGATGCACTAATATTCTTTTTCTTTCTTTCTTTTATTTTTTGTATGAGAGAAGAAAGTAGATAACCAAGAACTATAGTGATTCATAATGAAATACACTAAACTGAATTTTATGTTGTCAGTTCTTGGCATTATAATCTATATAACTGATTTAATTGTGGACATCGGGGTATCTGTCAGGTTTTTCTATGAAGGACGAAATGTTTTTGGTATTTTAACAGTAAGCTTTATGCTCTTTGGAACACTTGTGGTGCAGTGTTTTAGTTATTCTTGGTTCAAGGCTGATTTAAAGAAAGCAGGCCAAGAAAATCAGCATTGTTTTCTTCTACTTCACTGCTTGCAAGGAGGAGTTTTTACAAGGTGAGCATACACTTTTGATCATTAACATTATTTTTCTTTTATGCAAACAGAAACTATCTTTCTGTATTTGGATAGTCAAGTGTACAAAGTTCCCCTATTTGCACATGGCACAAAGGTTACTTGCTCTTCACTATCAGTGCTTATATGAGTCATTGCTGTACTGTTAGAATTTTCCAGGTTCATTGATAGATGTTTTAATTTACCTTGTGGCACCTGGGTGGCTGAGTTGGTTAAGCATCCAACTCTTGATTTTGGCTCAGGTCATGATCTCAGGGTTGTGGGATCCAGTCCTGCAATGGACTTGGCTCGGTGTGAAGTCTGCTGCCCCCCACCTCCCTGCCTTCCCCACCTTGTACATGCACACACATGAGCTCTTGTGTGCTCTCTTTCTCTCAAATAAAATCTTAAAGAATGTTTTTTTAAATTTCAATTCAATTAATTAATATATAGTGTATTATTAGTTCAGTGATTCATCAGTTTTATATAATACCCAGTGCTCATTACATCATGTGTCCTCCTTAATGTCCATCACCCCATAACCCTATTCCCCCATCCCCCTCCAGCAACCCTCAGTTTGTTTCCTGTGGTTAAGAGTCTTTTATGGTTTGTCTTCCTCTCTGACTTCGTGTTGTTTTATTCTTCCCTCCCTTCCCCCATGGTCTTCTGTTTTTTTTTCTCTTTTTTGTAAAGATTTTATTTATTTATTTGACAGAGAGCGAGAGAATGAGTGAGACAGCACAAACAGGGGGAGCGGCAGGCAGAGGGAGAGGGAAAAGCAGGCTCCCCGCTGAGCAGGGAGCCCGATGTGGGACTCGATCTCAGGACCCTGGGATCATGACCTGAGCTTCGGCAGTCGCTTAACTGACTGAAACACCCAGGCGCCCTGTTTTTTCTCTTAAATTGCAAATTTGAGTGAGATCATATAATTGTCTTTTTTTTTCTTAAAGATTTTATTTATTTTAACAGAGAGAGAGAGCGAGAGAGGGAACACAAGCAGGGGGAGTGGGAGAGGAAGAGGCAGGCTTCCCGCAGAGCAGGGAGCCCGATGCGGGGCTTGATCCCAGGACCCTGGGATCATGACCTGAACCGAAGGCAGTTGCTTAACCAACTGAGCCACCCAGGCGCCCCTATAATTGTCTTTATTGATTGACTTATTTTGCTTAGCATAATACCATCTAGTTCCATCCATGTCATTGCAAATGGCAAGATTTCCTTTTTTTTTTAAGATTTTATTTATTTATTTATTAGAGAGAAAGAGAAACAGCGTGAGAGGGGAGTGGGTCAGAGGGAGAAGCAGGCTCCCCGCCAAGCTGGGAGCCCGAAGTGGAACTCGATCCCAGGACTCTGGGTTCATGACCTGAGCCGAAGGCAGTCGCTTAACCAACTGAGCCACCCAGGCGCCCAAGATTTCGTTTTTTTGGTGGCTGCATAATATTCCATTGTATATATATATACCACATCTTCTTCATTCATCTGTTGATGGACATCTTGGCTCTTTCCATAGTTTGGCTATTGTGGACATTGCTGCTGTAAACATTGGGGTACAGGTGTCCCTTCGAATTAAGTTACTTTTTATGATATGTACTTACTTTTTGTGGGGAGGGAATGATTCATTTCTGTGTTTTATGAATCTTTTATCTTCTATTTTATATTCCAAATCTGATTATGTAAATGTAGTTTATCACTTGCAACTCTGATAAGAGTACTTATACCATTGATTTAACTAGAGAAATTTTTACTGTAATAATGCAGTAGCCATGTGGTTAATTAGGTACAGAATCATATGCAGAACTAAAAATAACCTTAAGAATCATCTTGTTCAGAGATGCCTGCATGGCTCAGTCAGTTAAGCGTCTGCCTTTGGCTCAGGTTATAATCCCAGAGTCCTGGGATTGAGTCCCACGTTGGACACCTTGCTCAGCAGGGAGCCTGCTTCTCCCTCTGCCTGCTGCTCCCCTGCTTGTGTGCTCTCTCCCTCTCTATCTGAAAAATAAATAAAATCTTAAAATTATCTTGTTCAAAACCTTATTTTATAGTTAAACTAGGAATCTAACTAGGTCCTGAGAATTCTGATTTTCCATATGTCTAATTTCATCAACTTTTTCATTATTATCCTAAGGCATTTAATTCTATTAAAAGCAATATATATATTACAGATAAAGAGAAAAAGACAAATATTAAGTGGATAACCTATTTTGTTACAGTTAGATTTTGAATTTGGGCTATTTTAACTGCCATCTTTCTTGAGAGATATTTTAGACTATAGAATTCGAATGAGTAGTTATTTTGTCTCTGCATATTATATTCTCTTGGTTTCCATTGTTGCTCTTCAGGGATTAGATATCAGTCTTACTGCTGTTCTTTTACTTTATTTTTTTTAATTTTAAAATTTTTATTTTTTTAAAAGGTTATTTATTTGAGAGAGAGTGTGAGAGAGAGCAAGAGATCATGAGCAAGGGGGAAAGGTAGAGGGAGAAGCAGACTCCCCCCTGAGCAGGGAGCCTGATGTGGGACTTGGCCCCAGGACCCTGGGATCATGACCTGAGCGGAAGGCAGACGCTTAACCAACTGAGCACCCAGATGCCACTGCTCTTCTTTTAAAAGTATTTTATCTTTTTTTTTTTTTTTTTTTTTTTACTCTGGTTGCTCTTAGGATTTTTTCTTTATATTTGGGTTTCTACAGTTTCTGAATATCTAGGTGTAGACTTATTTTTCTTGCTTGGGATTTGCTGGTCTTCTTAATTCTGTGGATTATTATCTTCCATCATTTCTGCACAATTCTCAGCCATTATCTTTTCTGTTTTCTTTCCTACATTTCCTTCCGGGACTCCAAGCAAATATAAGTTAGATCTCACACTATCTAACATGAATGTTGCATGTTAAATGTTTTGAATTTTTATTTTTTGACTCTCTGTGGTACATTCTGTGAAAGTTTTTCATGACTTTTTTTTTTTTTATTTCACTAGTACTTTCTTTCACTGTGGCCAAAATGTTATTACATCCAACCACTGAGTTTTATTTTATTTTTTAATTTATTTTATTATTTTTTAATTTAAATTCAAGTTAGTTAACATATAGTATAGTATTGGTTTCAGGAGTAGAATTTAGTGATTCATCACTTACATATAACACCTAGTGCTCATCACAAAAAGTGCCCTCCTAATACCCATCACCCATTTAACCCATTCCCTCACCCATCTCCCCTCCAGCAACTCTCAGTTTGTTTTCTATAGTTAAGAGTCATTTATGGTTTGCCTCCCTCTCTATTTTTATCTTAATTTTTCCTTCCCTTGCCCTATGTTCATTTGTTTGGTTTCTTAAATTCCACATGTAAGTGAAATCATATAATATTTGTCTTTCTTTTACTTATTTCACTTAGCATAATACATTCTAGTTCCATCCTAGGCACTGCAAATGGCAAGATTTCATTCTTTTTGATGGCTCGGTAATATTCCATTATATATGTATATATACACATGCACAATGGAATATTTTATACACACACACACATACACATATACATGCACACACACTTCTTTATCCATTCATCAGTTGATGGCCATTTGGGCTCTTTCCCTACTTTGGCTATTGTTGATAGTGCTGCTATAAACATTGTGGTGCATGTTCCCCTTTGACTCAGCATTTTTGTATCTTTGGGTAAATACCAACTAGTGTAATTGGTGGGTTGTAGGGTAGTTCCATTTTTACCTTTTTGAGGGACTTTCATACTATTTTCCAGAGTAGCTGCACCAGTTTGCGTTCCCACCAACAGTGCAAAAGTGTTCCCCTTTCTCCGCATCCTTGCCAAGATCTGTTGTTTTCTGAGTTATTAATTTTAGCCATTCTGACCTGTGTACGAGGTGGTATCTCATTGTGGTTAGTCACTTAATTAGGAAGTGATGTTGAGCATTTTTTCATGTGTCTGTTGGCTATTTGTATGTCTTCTTTGGAGAAATGTTTGTTCATGTCTTCTGCCCATTTCTTAACTAGACTATTTTTTGGGTGTTGATTTTGATGAGTTCTTCATAGATATTGGCCCATTATCAGGTATGTCATTTGCAAATCTCTTCTCTCATTCCATTGATTGCCTTTTAGTTTTGTTGATTGTTTCCTTCACTGTGCAGACACTTTTTATCTTGATGAAGTCTCAGTAGTTCATTTTTGCTTTGCTTTTGCTTCCCTTGGCTCCAGAGATGTGCTAGTAAGAAGTTGCTGCAGTCAAGATCATAGAGGTTGCTGCCTGTTTTCTCCTCTAGGATTTTGATGGTTTCCTGTCTTACATTTAGGTCTTTCATCCATTTTCAATTTATTTTTGTATTTGGTGTAAGAAAATGGTCCAGTTTCTTTCTTCTGCATGTAGCTGTCCAGTTTTCCCAATACCATTTGTTGAAGAGATGGGCTTTTTTTCTATTGGACATTTCTTTCCTGCTTTGTTGAAGATTAGTTGGCCATAGAGTTGGGGGTCCATTTCTGGGTTCTCTATTCTGTTCCATTGATCTCTGTGTCTGTTTTTGTGCCAGTACCATACTGTCTTGATGATTATAGTTTTGTAATATAGCTTGAGGTCTGGGATTGTGATGTCTCCTGCTTTGCCAGTACCATCCTGTCTTGATGATTACAGCTTTGTAATACAGCTGGAAGTCTGGGATTGTGATGCTTCCTTCTTTTCTTTTCTTTTTCAACGTTACTTTAGCGATTTGGGGTCTTTTCTGGTTCCATACAAATTTTAGGTTTGTTCTGGTTCTGTGAAAAAAGCTGGTGTTATTTTGATCAGGATTGCTTTGAATATGTAGATTGCTTTCAGTAGTATAGACATTTTAATGATATTTGTTCTTCCATTCCAGGAGCATGGAATGTTTTTCCATTTCTTCGTGTCTTCAATTTCTTTCATAAGTATTCTTTAGTTTTCAACATACAAATCTTTTACTCTTTTGGTTAGGTTTATTCCTAGGTATCTTATGGTTTTTGGTGCAATTGTAAATGGGATTGATTCCTTGATT